CGAAGTACTCTGCCTGTTACCCGCTGTGTGCCAAGGAGTACCGTTACCTGCTGCCTGCTGTGTGCGCCAGAGCTGACTCCTGCCTAAACCGTGAGTGCCTAAACCCCCCTCTTTCTGCCTGGACTGTCCGTGAATCTCCCTATTCCCCCTGCCTGGACTGTCCGTGAATTTCCCTATTTCCCTTGACTGGTCTGGTCCCAATGAATGCCCCCATTTCTCTGTCCGGAGCGGCCCCATCGAACACTCATACCTTGTCTGCCTGGATGCTGTCACATGTGGCGGCTCACCTGCCTGATTTTACCTTCCTGCAGCAGCCCATGTGTATGAAGCCATAAAGTACAGAACAGGTGTATTTCTAAAATGTAAAACTGACCCTCAGGGCTGGTTTACAGCAGAACCTGGTGGGGAAATGCACGTTTCGTGTGCTTATTCCACACCGGACTCAAAGTGCACTGTGTTTGTGATTTGCTGTGGGTGCCAATATATTCTTAAGGACACCCCAAACGCAGATTGCAAACGCAGTGCATTTAAAGCCACCAAACAACATGGTGCTGCAGTACCATGTGATTTGGTAAAATGTGTTTTTTTAAAGTAGTGCATACACTAACTACTTTGTGTATGGTCTGGTGCAATTTGCAGCTCATTCAAATGAGTGGACTGCAAAATCGCACTGCAAGGGAACATGCACTGCATTCCTTTGACATTCAGGTGTGAACTGGTCCTTGAATGGAAAGGTGTGAGGGGAATTTGGAACTGAAGCAGCCAAGTAAAGTTATTTGACCTAACAAAGATACAAGTGTGAAGGGTAAAGCCACAGAGGGATCTGAGTCTTAAAAGAAGCAATGCCCTTTAAAAGAGAACCAGTTTAGAGCTACAGCTGCACTATATGTTCTGCAATGTAACATTCAATGTCAAGCACAAAAGAGGTCCTGACACAGCGCAAAGAATTAACAGCAGCATCTGGCTTTGAATTATTTAAGGCCATCCACTTCCCCTGTAGTGACAACCCCGTGTACTCATCATGCTACATCGAGTGGGAGATGTCCACTGCTGAATATTCTTTTCTGGAAGGAAAGCGTTCTCCGTTGAACCCATCCAGTTATCAATCACGGGTCGGGACAAATGAGCCCGCTCACTTCTCCAGTATCACAAATGACACAGTGACCCAAGGCCAAGAGCTTTATTTGCTTCTCCAGTGATTCACTTCAGTAGATATTAAGCAATTTTATAATCCATGAAAGGCAAAATTAAAGGACACAATCCATAAAACAGAATAATTCCGATCAGCTACAACTTGATGTCTGTATTATCTTATAAATTATACAGCCATACTGTGCAGTAATGTAATGGAGGGAAGCGGGTAATAATCAAATGCCCTGGGCAGTTACTAATATGCATTTAATCACACAGCAGGAGGAGATTTGTCACTACAGTTGAGTGAACTGGTACATAAAGTACAAATAACTAACGTCCATGCGATAGGTCTTACAACAACAACACCACCCATACAGCCTGATATGAAGGCAGACAACTGTCAGGCTGAAATGTATGTATATTGAGTCCATTCAGGGGGTATGCTACTGCCCTGAATAACTGGCCAAAAGCATATAGTAAGATGGTATTTAAAAAAAAAGACAAAAAAAACTGTTCTCAAAATTTCAAAATGTAGAAGTGGAAAAAGAACATGCCAGTTCTGGACACTCCTGAAACATACATGGTAGTACTTGTCTGAAATCATTTATACTATGGAAAGTAGGAAGTCCATTTTTCTATTTAAGCCCGGGTTCACACTGATGCGGTGTGTAATTCGCAGCATTTTCTGTGCGAATTCTGCACCGCATCAGAATTGCACTCCGTTCATGTGAACCGCTGTGGTTATGTATGTTACGTTAACAACACCCCGAAGTCGGTCCGCAAAATGCGTTGCGATGTGCAGAAAAGGATCGTATAGGTGTGAATACCCATGCGACCCGATTCTAGTGCGGAACCAAAAAAGAGTCCTTCACCTTTTTGGTGTGGATGCGGTGTGGTTTGAGCCATACATAACGTATGGCTCAGCTCGCACCGCACAGAATACGCATGTGATTTGCACAGGAATGCAGTACGGTTCCTGTGTGAATCACATGCGATGTACGGCATCGCATTAGTGTGAACCCAGTCTAAAGCTGAACTTTAAACAAAATATAATATCATATATTTATTTCAGGTACTTTTATTGCGCCAACAATTTACACAGCACTTTACATATATATTGTACATTCACATCAGTCCCTGCTCTCCAAGGAGCTTACAATCTAAGGTCCTTAACTGACGTATAAACCATCCTGGAGCTATAAAAAGTACTGAGATTGTCTATTTAGGTGTCATATCCCTCATACTATTGTGACCGCTGCTTTGTCTGAAGCTCTATTCACCAAATATCACAACCAGGAATATCGATATATTGTGCAGTCCTATGGCACCATCTCAACTGGTACTTTTCTACTGTTTTTATGTGATTAGGACATGATGCCCCTAAACATAGCCCACCATCATGCCATATAACTCTATAAAACAATTTGTTTGCTATAAGATTTTTCAATTCTGACCAGCCTTCACTGGGATTCGTACGCATCTGCCAGACAGCACAATCAGAAGGGTTTCACTGCTTCCTCTTCACGCCGGCCGCACACAAATGTGGGGCCTCCTGGCGTCTGGGCCTAGACACTGAGCAGCCGCACATTTTTGTGCAATTAAGAAAAACATATGTGCTGAGAGTGCGCGCCCTGCGTGCTCCCAGCACACATGTCCGGTACTCATGGAAAGGTCCCGATCTCCTCTTTCGATCGGGACCTTTCCCAATCATGTGACCGCCGTGACGGCGAATCACGTTGGTCACATGACCCAAAAACCCCGCCCCACCTCCCGGCTTCTGAAACCCTTAAAGGGCCGGGAGGCGCCGGCGACAAGGGGTTAAGGGTTAAAACTGAACCTCAAGTGATATTAACCTCCCTAGCGGTCTGATTATGTCAGTATTTCTATGCTCAAAGCGGTACATTGTTTTCAATGGAAATATGTTGTTTTTTTATTGTAGGCCTGTAATTCTTAGGAATAACTCACTGAAATCTCTCCGAACAAGAGTCTAGTAAACATCCCGGGTATGATAAAATTTGAAACACGAAATAATAAATTATAATATAATAAATAATCATAAAAAAATAATAATATAATAATAAATTTAATTCAATAATATAATCAAACCAAAAACACTGAAATTTTAAAAAGAGCGCCAAGTTCGCACATCACTGAGTCGCTGAATCATTTTCAGTGTCTGATGACGAATTTCCCCACGAATCATTATCACTCAGTTCTGCAAGTGGTTCTGATTTACTATCGCTGTTCTCTAGCTGGTCTAAAACCGCTTTTGACCTAAAGGGACGCTTTTTGGACACCATGGACGTTTCTCAGTTTCCAGGCAGAAAGAACAGTCAAAATGCAGGCAGGGCATAGGACAAAGCACTCGGGACAAAATGTATGTGAAATGGTTTGATACAGTAATGTAATACTATCAGATTTCAGTGTATTGAGTGAATGTCACATTTTAAAATTTTTTTAAAATTCCCGCCGTTTCCGTCCCCCGTACGCCCCGTACGTCCCGACGCTTGCAGGGAACGGAACCCGGAAGACGGATGCCGGCATCGGCCGGTGGAAATGGGGGGACATCGCTGCAGGGGGGACATCGCAGGACCGCAGGACAAGGTAATTGCTCGAGGGATCCCAGAGCAACGCTGCAGTGTAATCCCGTGTGTAGCTCGGAGTTACCGTTTCTGGTACTGAAAGTTAACCCCGCGCTACACTCGGAAATACCGCCAGGGGGGTTAAAGTAGTATTAAACCCTCAGCATGTTTTAGCTTAACACACTGAGCACAATAAAACAAACATTCCCTAGTAAACTATTTGTTAAAATTATTATCCCAGCACTTACAGTTCACAACTTTCAAGGCTACTGTCTCCTGCTCTCTTGGGGCTGCTTTCCTGAACTTCCAGTCTTCACAGGAAACAAAGTATAACTAAAGGCACTTTTGAAGGTTTTGGATTAAGTGTACAGGGATTAAAACACATCAGGTTTAATTGCTGTCTGTTCGCCCATTAGGGAGATTTACCCTCCGTTTTTGTCCTGTTTACCTGTATCACAGAAAGTGAAATACAAGAAAATTTTTGTTGACCCCAGAAATTTTCCAATGGAGATACTGATTTTGCTGACTCTGGTGAAAACCTGGGACTCCCTCACTTTGGAGGAATTTCCTCTCACTTCTATTTGGGTATGGGACAGGAAGTTAAGGGAAATCTTCCAAATGCTAGACAGATGGCAAAAAAAACAAAACAAAACAAAAAAACAGAGATGGGTTATAACTCTCCTTTATTCTGTCAAAAATAGAAAATACATTTTACCTTTAATTCTACTTTAAGCCTGGTTCACACTGTGTAGGCTAGTTGCGGGTGCAGGAATTGCATCTGTTCCCGCACCGGCACCCAACCTCAGCCAAATGCCACTACTCTGATGAGATGCGTGGGGCTGCCATTCATTCTGTGTGGCACCCCCACACATCTCAACCCGCCCACAGTTCGCAGGGGAATCACATGGCTAAAAGTGCATGAACCTTTTTTGCAGAAAACGCAGGCACGGCCTGCACAGGTGTGAACCAGGGATAACAATGGAAAGTGCCATCTCCTGTCAATTTGTTAGCTGGGAGGAGGGAAGATCAGAGAAGTTTTGCCATCCAGGCTACAGGGTTGTGCGTTGCTATTGATGCGAAACTGAGGATTTATTATCGCTTCTTGTAAAAATATATTTATTTGCATGCCTTCAAGGGGATCTTTATTGTCCTGATGCACTTTGCACAGCTTTCTTCCTTCTCCCTTCTTTTTCCTCAGTTGGACATCAAATTTTGTTTTTCATTTTAACTTTTTTTTGGATACCCTCGCCCACACTTTCAGATTTCCTGCTTAGGCGAGAATGATGTTCCAACCAGGGAAACTGCCCGCGGCCCCGGGGTCAGTATGGGGCCCCATGAGGTGCCCCTGGTACCTTTTTCATAGGCTTTTTGAGTTTGGGCAAGGACACAGGGGCCCCATGATCCCCTATTGCCCAGGGGCCCCATGAGTTGTCAGTCCGCCCCTGGTCTGGTTCCAACCTGCACACTGCCCTTGCGGGATGCAAGTAAGGCATCCCAGGAGGCTTTGGGGCAATTTACTGCTCTTGCGCCACATTATCAGAGGCGTCAGAGAGTAGGATGCAGTGAGCAGCAGCAAAATAGCTGTTTACTGCAGAGTATGGCTGGCCATGTGGGCACATTTATCAGGGAATTCAGTCAAAAAGGTAAGATGGGCTTGAAAGAAAAAAGGGGGGGGCGAAGTTCCTTTTTATGTACTTGTGGTCCTGCTGCTCTCTTTTGCTCTCTGGCATCACTTTGCCAGACAATCATCCAAAAAAAAACCCATTGCATATCCACTAGAGGGTGGTTCCATTTTCAAGACAAAAGAGGAAACTTCCTCAAAATGTGTTGTTGACATTTTTACCCGATGTACGGTCCAGCTAGGAGAGTAACGACAGCGGGGAACGCTGCATCGGGTAAGTGATGTGAACAGATTTTTTCCGGCTGACTCTGGAGTCTCTCTTTCACTGTCAACACAGATGGAGCCAAGCACACGTCTGTCCTTCACTTACTTATGCCTGATACAAGTTACTAAAAACTGAGTGTGTTATTGTTTTTCATTGTTAATCTACACAATGTTTTAACCGGATCCTATGATCCTGTCCATTTTGTTTTCTATGTTCTGGAAGTGATCGTCCCAGATCCACAGCAGGAACCATTCCACAGCTCATTACGGAATATTATTACTAATGGACACCAGTTTCTATTTTTACACGGACTGATAGCATAATTACTTGTGCACTTTTGGTTGTTGTGATTGCTGCCACTGGCTTACAAGGACTTCCTTGACCCACTCCCATGGGGCTACTCCTGGCCAGGACTGTACACGGACACGCACGGGTATCCCTGAACCAACCAGCAGAAAATGCAAATGGGTATGCATGAGCAAAGGAGTAAGTTGCAAGGAATCGTGGGGGAGATGCAGTAGACCACCTAAATATAAGGCTGTTTTCAAACTGCTCCATTGCAGCTAATTAGCCACTAGGATTGCTTTTACAAGAAAGCCGATCGCTGGCTGAAAAAAAACTATACCAGGATGATGCCTGCAGCTGTAGGCATCATTCTGGTATAACCATTCAAAGTCCAGTGATGTACCTGGTCCTTGTTGGGTATATATGCTATGTTCTTTTTTTTTATGCAGCCTGTGGGCTAAATGAAAAAAAGAGAGTAAATCTCTGCCAGAAAAAGTGTGTGGTATGCCCACCATTAGAATATACCGCCCTGCATCCACACACTTCTAATGGCGGGCACACATTAGGTCGCACTGCGCCACATGCGTCAGTTTCAAGATTGTACAAATGTCTAAATAGTGGCACGCTTGAATATAAATTGTCCACGTATAAGTGGTACCCCATATGGAAAAAGGATGACACCAAGTCCCAAACTATCTTGCTACTGCTTCCCATGTAGTCTGGACATCCGGGGGCCCCACGTGACAATCTTTTCCCTCGTAAATCCGAAACTTATAAGTATAGCCTGTTGTCCTCTCACAGGTCTTCTACATCTTGACCCCATATCTGGCTTATTTGCTTAAGAGAAATTGTTTAAATGCAAGGTGGCCAGAAAAATTAATGAGGGACTCATTAACACAGATTTTTTGCTGAGGAGCATAGAGATCTGCAAATTTTTGGTTAAGGTGATTTACGAGGGGCCGAATTTTGTGGAGCCGGTCAAATTCAGGGTCACCTCCAAGAACAACAGAGTGTGTTGTCATTGAAATGCATAAAACACATTATACTCTCATATCTATACCTGGCCATGGCAGCAGAGAACACGGCATATGATGAATCGGGTCTGTGGACTAATACAACCGCAAATTATTTTTTTTAGTAATGAACATGTTGTAGGTTAGGCCAACAAAATATAAATTCAGAAACCATAATCAGTTGTCATTGTGAATGGTCTGGCAAGGTTTGAATTTGGGTTGGCGGTGACAAATTGTTGTGCATATAAATTGCTTTGATCCACAATCAATGCATACAGATCTACCTTGAAAAACAGCTCCAAAAAATCAAAGGGAGTAGTTAAATTTGCTGTTTCCACCTGAATTCTGGGTTAGGCAGTGAATGGGGGAAGTATGGGTGCTGCAGAATTTGTGGGCTGCCAATTGGGATTTGCAAGCACATCTGGAAGGATACTAGGGGCTGTATGAGCCTGTGAGCGAATTCTTGGTGGTTGGGGCACCAGCTTGTACTGAACTTATGGGACTCACCACGTCACCAAGTGATACTGCAGTGCTGGTATGTGAAAGACCAGGATGTACTAGGCCGCTGGTGCTCGCCAGTTCACCAAAAGGTAGAGCGGCACTAGTAATGGCACTCTGCTGCATATGAGAGTCATCAAAATTTAATGGCAAGTGCTAGCAGACATCAGGCCTGATTCTGCGAACACTGCGGTTTTGGTACAATGTATCTGTGACCTACTGACACTGCACTTGCTGGTGGAGAAGGGTGGGGGCAAGCGTAGGGGCTAAACGCAGGTGCTGGCAGGTGCCTGGGCTGATTCTGCTAATGCTGTGTTTTTGGGGACACTATACTAATGTTGGTATAATGCTGATCTGATCAAAGATATTGATCCGTTCAGACACTATACTAGCAATGGAGGTTTATTGTGTATAACCATGTTCCTGACAATCAAGGGGTTAAATGTGATTACTGGTGTACTGACAGGCAATCTGACGCTAACTGGGAGGGGCGTGAAAACCACAGGAGTGCGAATCACATATATATATGTGATTTTGCACACCCATGCCGCCCTGTAGCAGTATTTCTGCTATAGGGCAGTCAGGAAGCAGTTAAACAAGTGGTTTGCGTTACGGCGCTGCGTTACTTTAACTGACAATTGCGCGGTCATGCAATGCTGCACACAAATTAAATTTACGTCCTTTTTTTCTCATGAATTGAGCCTTCTTTTGGTGGTATTTGATTGTGCGTTTTTTTATTTTTTGCGCTAAAAAAAATTCTGCCAATTTTGAGAAAAAAAAACAATATTTTTGATTTTTTTGTATTAAACATGTCCAGTAAAAAACTTAAAAAATCTGATTTCATCATAAATTTAGGCCAAAATGCATTCTGTGACATGTCTTTGTTAAAATAAATCCCAATACGTGTAAATTAATTGGTTTACGTGAAAGTTATAGCGTTTACAAATGGCGGTATAGATACTGGAGTTTTTTTTTATACTAATAATGGCGGCGATCAGCGACTAGTGGGACTGCGGCAGACATTCTGACACTGGGGAACTGATTTGGTGTGACATCCCCAGTGGCACCAATACAGTGATCAGTGCTAATAAAAAGCACTGACACTGTACTAATGGCACTGTGCAGGGAGGGGTTAATATTAAGGGGTTGTATTATTTTTTATTAATTTTTTTTTCTTTTTTTAAGATTGTTTTTCATATTTCGCTATGACCAAAGTAGTACAATGTTACCATAGTAACATTGTACTACTTTGGGAACATGATCAGTGTTTTTTTTTTTTTTTTTAAACACAATTTGATTGATTATAGCAAAGAATTTATTTGCTATAAGCAAGCATTTACCTGAATGAAATCGATTCATTCAGGTGTTTTTTGTTGCGATTAGCTGTGATTGACCACGGCTAATCACATGACACAGATTGGCTGTGATTGGCCCAGCCTGTGCATGTGATAGCTGTGACCATTCACAGCTAGACACACTTGTATACATTGGATGGCATGAAAGGAAGCCATCCACTGTATACAACTGTCATGTGACCTGCTGTGATTGGTCACAGCAGGTCACATGGTACTGGCAACGGGACTGGTACACAGATCTGTCATCGGCCGTGTCTGAGGTACACGGCGGGTGACAGTTCATGCCACAGTGCGACCCTGCGGGCATGCGCAATGCCATATGGCATCCTCCTGGAGGGACGAAGCGTTTGCCTGGCCGCCATCTGGCCATAGGCCGGGTGGCAACTGGTTAAATAAAACATTTCCATTTTACCTTAGTTTAAACTCTGTGGCATCATGACTGGGTCCCTGTGCTTCTCTATTAAATGCAAGCAAATCATGGCTGGTGAGAGTGGAAGGTGCTCCACATAGCTTACTGAAAAACATCAAACCACACTGCTTCAGTATTCTTCTCAAGAGCCCTTGGCCCTGATGGAAGCAGTGGGCTGGTTCTTGGGAGGAGTTATGCAAATACCTGGTTGACCAGTCTGGAGGAGCTGGCATCCCTAGGTCTCCCTAGACCACCCTAGGAAATGTCCACCTGATGTTGAGCTTTCATGATTGAAAGAAACCCAAAGAATGAAAGGAGTGGGCCAAGGACAGTAAGGCTAGGTGGAAAAGAATTAGATGACATCCAACCGGAAAATGAATCTGTATCTCTCTGACTTGCTGCAACTTCTAATGCATACTGTAGAAAGCTCACAGAGTACAGTGAAATCAGAGTAGGCAATTTTGTTATGGAAGAGGAGCCCCTACAACTGTGCAAGACTGAAGATCAGAAATGGAGTGCAGATTTCCAGTCTGGCCCACGTATATAAACGGATGGACAGGAGCAGTGCAGGGGCGGTTGGCAGGGCCGCTACCTGCTTGTGCACGCTCCCTGGGAGCATGCAGCACCGCAATCCGGTGCCCACTGTGTCCAGGGGACACAGTGGAACACCGATCATTGTACGGGACCTCTGTGTGAGGTCCCAATCATGTGATTACTGATTGGCCAATCAGTGATCATATGAAGAGTAGTAAGCAAGATGTCACTTCTGACATCATTGCTTACTACGTGTGAAATCTGTGAATGATCACAGAGGTCGCATGGTACAAGGCTATTCACAAGCTGTGACCAATCATGCTCACACAGTATTTCTGAATGGCTGCAAGAATGCAGCCAGAGAGGAGAAATTATTGCTTTTACAGCCTTCATCACCCCCCACAAGTAGTACAGTGTCATTATGGTAACACTGTACTGCTAGGGTGACAGTAGGTAAAAAAAAAAAAAAAATAACTAATAATATAAAAAAATAAAATAAAAATGTAAAAAAAATTTAGAAAAATTATAATTTTTGGTTATAAACTAATTTGGGTTATTTTTTTTTTTACGAAAAAGATAATTGAATAAATTTTGGCCAAGATTTATGAAGAAAGATTATTTATTTGCAAAATTTTATAAGAAAAACACTTTTTTTCAACATTTTTGGAATTTTTCATTTATATAGCAAGAAAAATAAAAACCCCAGTGGTGAATAAATACCACCAAAATAAAGTTTTATCTGTCTCAAAAAAATGCAAAAAAATGTATATGGGTACAGTGTTGCATGACCGCGCAATTGTCACTCAAAGTGTGATAGCACTGAAAGCTGAAAATTGGCCTGGACAGGAAAGGGGTAAAAGTGTCCGGACTGGAAGTGGTTAAATTCTGGCCAATTTCCAGCTGGAAGCTTTCCATATATACTGTACATATTCTGTTATTTATACATCATTGTATAGATATAGATACAAGATAAGTTACAACATGGAAAACAGAGTTATCAAAAGCATCAAAAGGAGTGACAGGAAATGGGTAAAATCTATTTTTCAATTCCCTTGAGAGCTTTATCACAATCTTGACAATCTGTTCCCCAAGGAGTAAATATAAACAGTTAAACATATGGAGCTGGCGGCCTGTTTCCTGTGTTAAATATATAAAGTGCACATACACCTTATTTAAGGGGAATCGCTAGATTTGACCATTTTTTTCACATGATAATGCAGCTTAAAGAGGAACATCATCTTTAAAAAAACAAAAAAAAAATGAAAGTCAGCAGCCTCAAATACTACTAACACTGATCAGTCCCTTAAGTCCATTCTTCTCAGTGCTGCAGGTCCCTGATGCCACCATCTTGGATTTGGAAGACAGCTGTGACTACCTGAGGAATCATAGCCAGCTCTTCACGGCTTATGTGCGGTGCAATAAAACTGGCTCTCAGCCTCCTTGGATGCATGACGTGTCCCAGAAGGCTGAGGTTGTGGAGGGAGCAGGGGCGGACTGACAACTCATGGGGCCCCCGGGCAATAAGGGATCATGGGCCCCTGTGTCCTTGCCCAAACTCAAAAAAGCCTATGAAAGAGGTACCAGGGGCATCTCATGGAGCCCCCTACTGACCCCGGGCTCTCGGGCAGTGCCCGAGTTTCCAAATGATCAGTCCGCCCCTGGGAGGGAGGCAATATAATTCTGGCCTAGATTAAAATTGAGGAAGTGGAAGAGAGTAATGACAAAAAAAGGTACCTGCTCCCCCCTTAACCACATGCCCTCCAGAGGATTTACCCCCCTTCCTGACCAGGCCATTTTTTGCGTTATGGAGCTGCATTACTTTAACTGACAATTGCGCGGTCATGCAATGCTACACCCAAATGAAATGTACATCCTTTTTTCCCCACAAATAGAGCTTTCTTTTGGAGTGACTTGATCGCCTGTGAATTCTTTCTTTTTTGCGCTATATAAAAAAAAAAGACTGACAATTTTGAGAAAAAAACAATATTTTTGACTTTTTGCTATTAAGCATATCCAGTAAAAAAAATTTAAAAAAACCAAATTTTGTCATAAATTTAGGCCAAAGTGTATTCTGCGACATGTCTTTGCTAAAAAAAAAAATCCAATATGTGTAAATTAATTGGTTTACGTGAAGGTTATAGCGTTTACAAATGGCGGTATATATACTGGTATTTTTTTTTAATTTTTACTAGTAATGGCGGCGATCAGCGACTTATAGCGGGACTGCGGTGGGCGTTCTGACACTGGGGGGAACTAACTTGGTGTTACTGACATCCTCAGTGACACCAATACAGTGATCAGTGCTAAAAAAACCCACTGACACTGTACTAATGGCACTGGGCAGGAAGGGGTTAACATGAGGGGTGATCAAAGGGTCAACTGTGTGCTGTTTTACTATGTGCTGTGTCCGTGTGCTTCACTGTAAGCACACTGCTTTGGGTGGCTGTACTGTGAACAGCCATCCAAGGCAGTGTGCACTAGCTGACAGGGAGGAGAACTGTTTTGTTTACAAACAGTGCTCCTTCCTGTCAGAAATACTCGGCAATCACCAGGCGCCAGCGAGTAATCACCGGCAAGGACTCGGTGATTGACAGCCGCGTCCGCGATTGGCTGTCCGGGTAGGGCATGCGCCCCTTACATGGAAATGCAAAATCACGTATTTCTGCTATAGGGCGGATGGGAAGCAGTTAAAGGAAAACAAAACCCTCTTAAGTGCAGGGGTGAGAGGTGGAAAAGCAACACTTTCACTTTTGTCTACTATAACCACCTTCCTCCCGCCATATAGTACAATGATGGGCACAAGGTGGTTCTCTCGTTCTGACGTCCTTCCATTCTCACCGCGCATGCGCAGCTCAGGGAGCGTGCATCCCGGCGATCGCCTGTGCGCTGTGTCCCTCGGACACAGCGTATCACGTAAAGAGCCGAAGATGTCGGCTCGGTCATGTGATCAGCTGTGTCCAATCACAGCTGATCACATGTAAACACGGAAATGCCGGTTATCGGCAGGAGAGCCGGTAATCGGCTTTCCGCGGAGGGGACATGTACACTGATCATCAGGGCACTGATGATCAGTGTGCCCTGATGATCAGTGTGGCCCCAAAAGTGCCACCTGTCAGTGTCCATCAGTGCCAGCAGTCAGAGCTCATCAGTGCCACGTGCCACTGCCCATCAGTGCCACATCAATGCATACCAGTGCACATTAAAGCCACATATCAGTGCCCATCTGAGCTGCCTTTCAATGTCACCCATCAGTGCCAGTCAGTGCCACCTATCAATGCCTATCAGTGCCACCTATTAGTGCTGCCAATCAGTGCCAGTCAGTGTTGCCTATCAGTGCCGCCTATCAGTGCGCATCAGTGCCACCTATCAGTGAACACTGAACACATGATGTTCCTACCAAGCTTGTCACACATTGTAATGACCAATTCACACCTCAGACCTCCCCCACCCTTGGAAACAAAAGATATGTTAATGACCATTCACACATCAAATTCCTCATGAGGACCCCCTGCCAGGGGGCCTTAATGACTCACCCCACCAGACACCTTTCCCACCCTTGGAAAAAAAAGAAAGGTTAATGAGCAACTCACACCTAAGCTAATCTCAACACATACTGCTGTCTCTGCTTCTACTGTCTGTATTTCTCTGAAACAGTCTGAAATAGTTAATAATTTACCACTTTTCAGTGCATTCTGGGCATTTGGGAGGTTTTCCTGTGCTTATCTTTAAGAAACGCTTCTAAATGGAAACGCACATAAACGTGCATAAACACGTTATGCAAACGCGCTAAACAGACTTTTTTTAACCTACATTTTCCAGCAGTCAGTTTACATTGTTCACAAGTGTCCCTAAGATATGAATGGGGTCTAATGCATGTTATTATTATGTACACAACCTGCAACAAATCCCTGATGGAAAACCTGTCAGTCCCTTCATGTTTCATTAGCTTCTTGGCCATGTCAAGTGCTGGAGAAGATCCACCGCCACTCCACCTGCCCAGACAACTTCATCCAGACCATGAAACCACGCCCTCTGGACATGGAAATAGTGAAGTGAAGGGAACCAATGTGGTCATGTGAGCACTGAATAATACAGGATTGCTGCAGCTGAAAGGGGCACCTAGTGGTACAAACCTTTAGAACAGAATGCACCCAGGGGAAAAATGCCTGGAATGCAAGAAGTCATCACACATGTGCATCTTAGGCTCCATGTACACGGTGTGTTTGGAGAAATCGTCTGAACGCTTGAAATTGACAGCAGGAAAATGCAGGTTAAAAACGTCAGTTTTGCCATGTTTGCATACCGCGTTTAGAAGCGTTTAGCCGCATTTATGAGCATTTGTGTTCAGAAGTGGTTTTTTAAAGATAAGCACAGGTGAACCTCCCAAATACCCAGAATGCATTGGAAAATGGTAAATTATTAACTATTTCAGACTGTTTGAAAGAAATAGAGAGCATAGAAGCAGAGAGAGCAGTATTTGTTGAGATTAGCTGTCTTTTTTTTTGGTGTTTGGATGTGTTCCAGCTCATTTCTGTGCAGAAATTATTGCAGCAGTGTCTAACATATTTTCTTTCATGCGAAACCTCAAAGTATGGTGTACCAGGTTTCTTTGAGTACCGGGAAAACACTTTGCATGCATTTTTTATGATGAAATAAGGCTCTGGACAGCATTGGGAAATGGAAGAGTTAAAAAAAATTTCTAAATGCAAATGCTTAGAAACGTTAGCCGCGTAGCCGCGTTTACAAGCATTTTTGAAATGCTGATAAATCTACTCCTGAACGCAAGTTTGGGTGCGTTCAAAATAACTACTGTAAACTCAACTGCCTGAAAACGACTGAAAATGAAGATGTGTACATGGACACATAGGAAAACATTAGGCAGACTTCAGGGGCTGCTGACAAAAAATACTGAAAAGCTCCTGAACGTCAGTTTATCAGCTGCAGTGTACATGGAGCCTTAAATGCACACGAATGATCATGGGAGATATTGTCCAAGAGGAAAGAGGGAGCACACTCCTCCACCAGAAGTTAGGGGAAGTGCTGTACCCAGGAGGAAGAATGATTTATATGTAATAACAGTATTTCTCTACTAAAAAGAAGTACATGATTAACAATGGCAATATTTCAGACACTGAATGTCTGTCAATAGAGAAATTGATTTTACAATGAGAGTTTATTAACACTTTAACAGGTCTATTTATAAAAAAAAAATTGCATAGCTATTCATCCAACAAAACTGCTGTTAGTTTTTTCTGTGCAAATGGGGCAGAATTGAATACTCATTCCTCTACAGGTCAAATGTTATTCATTCATAACACTGAGAGATTTGGAAAATACCACATTATGGCAAGTAGATGAAGCTGAAGACTATAGTAAATAAGCACATATTTCGTCAGCTCCTTCTAGTGGTCATAATGTATTTTCTGAGCCCCCATATTTTATAAATGAACATTTGACCTGTGGAGAAAATAGGAGGACATTTCACTCTGCCCCATTCACACAGTAAATGTACAAGCAGTTCCATTTTTTTTTTTAAGTATAAATACAGCCCAAATTGTGAATGGGCCCTGAAGTGCTTTTACTGCTTGTTCAATGTAAATACTTCAGTGTGAATGATCTGGGCACAGGTTTGTACCAAAGGTATAATTGTCCAGGATCATTTGCACAGCACATGAACATGTCTAAAGTCTTGTTTCAAAGGTTTTCAGCTAATATATGCTAATGTACCATGAATGTCAAATTTGTGTGGTCATAAATAAGGAGATTAGTACAGCTGGAACTGAAAAAGCCGTTGGTGAATGTTGCACATGAGGTACATGTGTTCTTTACATGTGAGAAATGATTCACAGGCGCATATGACGGTCACCTTCATCACTTTATTATGTCATTAGGTTTACATCCCCTCTCATTTATTAGGCCTCCCTGCAATACTGCTGGTCTGAGTTTTCCAAATACAATCATCTCTGTAAGGAAAGGGGGTTCCCCTCCTATAGCAGTGAAGGGCTTATATTTTCCTGGCATAAGACATCTGCTGCCACCTTGTGGAAAATCAGCCAAACTACATGTTCTTCTAGTTCTGGAGAGATTGGTGGAAGATTTATAACCTCTGTAATGTTTGTATTGCGGTGTACCTATTGAGCAATCAAAAACCCAAACTCTAATCTGTGCATTAGCACAATAAAGCTGGCCATGCACCGACTGAAATCCAGAAAGTTAAGAAGGGATCGGCCAAATTTCAAACAGTGGATCATTTGTATAACTTCTGTGGAAGGGACATGTGGGAAAATCTCTCCATCAGTAGCTGAAGCTGTTGATCAGTGTATTCCGACAGCAGCAGGTGCTACTGTCAGACTACAATGTTCCAGCAGGTGTGTGGCCAGCTAAAGTAGAAGTAAACCCTCACCTGGTAAAACAACCTACATAGTTTAAAATAGAAATGAAAGGTAAGATATTTGTGTATACATATAAAATACACATTATAAATACCTTCTTTCCCCTTTTCTATAAGTGATCACATACCCTCTGTTCTCAGCTGAGGGTGGAGAAACATCAGTACATTGGTCTTCCCAGTAAATGGCGGTGTAGGAATAGGTGTGTCAGGACAAGTCTGATCATTGGAGGAGAACAGACTGAGTTCCCAGCACAGCTAGAGAACTGACCACACTGAGCTCTCATACCAAGTATGGTCAGTTTTAACAGGAAAGCAGAGGGACTGGCAGGAACACCAGGAATTTCACATAAAGGAAGAAATACAAAGAGAACAGGATACTTTTTTATATACATGGGGCATACAAATACATGGTACAGCAGGCACATATCAGGAATAGGAAAGGCTGGGTTTACTTCTTCTTTAAGGCCTTCCATGTTCAGATGGGATATGTGATAGAAAGAGATATGTGAATAAATTTTGTTTTAGGAACGGCTTATGGTGTCCATATACTAGACGAAAAAGCGTTTGAAAATCTGTCATTTGGACAGTTAGTTTTTCGTCAAGTTAATGGGCACAAATCCATAAATGGTTGTGACTTTTTTGAGCCAAAAAATTGAAGGAAAAATTTGGGAAACTCCTGAACAGACGATAAATTGAAGGTTAATGTGTTTCTCATCCGTTAAAAAAAATAAACTGTTGGTATTGAGAATGTGTGAAAAAAAAAACTTTACCCCAGAAGATTAATATTCGTGTCCATGAACGGTCATCTCTAAAATAAAGAGAATAGCAAGAGTACACACAAGAAACATAGAACCATCAATATAGAAAATGTTTCTTGTTTTTTTTTTTTGGTGTGAATGTTACCTGAACACATTAAATTAAGAAAAATAGAGACCAAAATAATCCAATAATGAAAACTTTCTTGCCTTTTTTTTTGCAAAATTTAGAAGCATTATGAAAAATGTTTTTGCATCATTGCCACAAATACTTTTTTAAATCTTCAAGAATGAAAACCATTATTGTTACATGTGCAAAAACAGCATGGATCCATCACCTGAAGTCCGTGGTTAAAAGTAGACATGTATAACGTGTGTTTTTGGGGCCCATGTGCATCTGCAAGTCATCCTCTGCAGCCCCAACTGTTCCCCAGTTGGAAAATATGCGTTTAAACACTGCAGTTGAATACTATAGTAATGAGCAGTTTAGTAAAAATTGCAACTTGCAACATTTATCCCAGGGAAAGGGTCCAATAAAAAAATTTGCTAAAGTGCTATAAACGCTTTTCCAGAAAATGGTGCTGACCTAAAAAGGTCCGTTCACGTGACGTTTTTTCCCCAACAGTGTTTGGTCCAAGGCTTTCCTTGAGACATGCCAACTTGGGACAAACACCGGTGCTAAAACTAATGAATGGCAGCTTTCAGTCTTCAAAGGACTTGCCCTTTTGGGACAGTCCGTCCTTCTGCACAAACAGCAACAGACCTTGTTAACTGGGTTCATATGCATACCGATGATCTCACAAGGGATATTAAAAAGTGAAAACTCAATCTTCCAAAGAGGATATGGAATAAATACAGAATAAGGTCTATGTAAGATTTTAAGACTTACCTATAAGCTCAGCAATGCCTGTGTGAATATCAAAGAATGGGTTGGTAACCAAAGGAGCCCTGTTCTGGCTGTAGTACTTGGTGATGGCCTCAAACAGCAGCGGTTTCCACGACCTTTCCTTGTCAGGTCATTCACGGAGATTCTGGCTCACATCCATCACAATATGGTCTGGGAGAAGCTCCAAATGGTGCACTGCTGCCCAAATCCACTCATCTGCCCTGCCACAGAAAAAAATAAAAGTTTCAGAAAAACCACAGCTGACTGGCATTCTATTGCT